GGAGGAGGAGGAGGAGGAGGAAGAGAGGAGGAGGAGGAGGAGATCTTTGAGTTACCTCCATCAGAGCAGCTCAGTCTCCAGGACTGATCATTATCTCCAAACAAACATTCATCTCTGTCTCCTCTCCTTCTGACTCCTCTGTAACTCACTGATACAGAAACATCTCCTCTCCACTCGACCTCCCAGTAACAGCGGCCAGTCAGACCAGTCCTACACAGCAGCTGAGGATAGTAATCAAATCTGTCTGGATGATCAGGATATGACTGAAGCTTCTCCACATATGTCACCTTCCTGTTGTTGTCAGACAGTTTGAGGATTCTGTTCACTGTGTTTGTGTCCAGTTCCAGCTCACAGGCGTCTGATGGAGAGAACGAGACACAACACAGCTGCAGGTTATCATCTGTTCATTCATCAACAACTATATATATATATATATATATATATATATATATATATATATATTTGTATCTGTTTCTATTCCTGTAGTGTGTGTTCTTCTTCCTGCATTTCTTTCTTTGTGTGTACATGTGTATATTTGTCTATATTTTCTATTATTGTACAAAACGTTCTATTTATTGCATATCAGAATGTAGCCAAATTCTTTTTGATGTTTTTTCTTGCTAGAACACAGGAAATGGTAAGTATAATAATGCTTTAGAACAACACTGAAACTGTTACTTGGAGCCTGCATGAACGGGGCACAAGTAACTTTCAATGTCTGCCGTTAAGCAAGTGTACATGTTGTCTCACTAATGAATTGAACTTAGAGCCTGAAAAGACTGAAAAGACTCCTTTTTTCAGAGAAACCCACCGATTACATCGATGATTATCAGTTGGAGCCTGCATGAACGGGGCCCAACTTTTCCATTAAAAATCTGCTGGGATGCTACTCCAAGACAAACTTATAAAAAAATACAAAAAATATCATTCTCAAAATTGTACATAGAGCCTTTACAGAGAAACCTCACCTCACCACTACTTAAAGCCAATGTCAGATAAAAAGTGAACACATGAATGACTGGTCAATGTCTTTGAGAGTCTGCATGAACTAAGATGATGTTCATCTATTAATCATGTTCAGTGGGAGATTACAAAATGTTAAAATGTATGAAAATGTTACTGTTACCTTGTTGTTGTAAGATACATGAATATGTGGAGTTCATAGTTAAAGGTTTGGAGTTAAGGGGGGGGTATTTTTGACATACTCTTGCTGTATTTCCTGATTTACTTTGTTGTTAATTTTATCCCCTTTGCTTACCCTCAGGTTCAGTAACTGTACATATGTTTTCCATTGTTGTTGTATGTTTTCTCTTCGTTGTTTTATAGTTTCTTGTACGTTTGTCGTGTTATATGTTCCTACTCTTAGCCTGCACCTTGTCGTGGTGAGTGGGCTTTCAACCAAGACAGGCCGTACTAAATGTTTAAAACCAGTGTTATTAACTTATTTTCTCTCTCATGTAGTACGATGTAGGACACTAGGGAGTGTCATGGCTGTCTTTCTGTGGGCGCGATGATCCAATTAACACTCTGTGGCTGAAAGATTGCTGTTCATTCCATCTAACTCCTCAGACGTGCACACCTACTCTCCATCAACTCATCAACTCAACAGTATATATACCCCGGCTCTCAATCCACTCGCCAGATCGTTCTTTCAGCTACGGTAGAATACGGTTCAGGCGTAGTTTTTGATAGACTTTTAAATACTTTCTTGTGCGAGTTTTGTTCTGATATTCATCCTGTTTTTCTTTTACTTTAGGTTCACCCACCTGCCTTCTTGGATTCAAAGCCTCTCAATCAACCAGGCTCACATCGCAACTCTGCTCTGATCAGCCGTCTCCCTTTCACTCTGCAGACCTTGTGAATCATCGTCTCATCTCCCTTCCTCTGCAATAAACCTCATTACAAGTCAACCTGTTGTTCTTATGAATTCCATATTATTCCTCATATATATTCCATATTGTTTTTGTTTGCCAATATAGTTTTATAAGTTAGGAATGTCTCAGAAGATATGAGTGGACGCTCCTGCTAGTTCCCATTTCTTAACCTCTTAAAACTGTAATCCATTGGTTCTTTTTGATATATTTGATAAATATAAATGATCTGCTTTTTAATACTTCCCTTAATTGTTAACATTAAAACTCTTCTATATTCGATGATAAAGCACATCATTTGTATAGTTTAGATGGGTAAACTAGACGATATTATGTGATATTGATCTAGGAAGACCACATTTCTGAATGATTTTTAAACATTTTTCTAATCACACGTAATTAATGTAATTTACTCTGGTTGAATCTTGATTTTGATTGTTTTAAATTTGTATATGGGGACTTCTTGTGGCAGATATTGGAACAGAAAGAGCAGAAATCTCTCCACTTTACATTATTAGAGATAAAGGAAGGGTTTTGTATCTAAAGCAAGTATCAAAAGGCATGCGCTTTACAAAAATGAAGAATACAATTCATGCATCCATGTTATCCTAAATTATTTTCATGTCGTCAGAAATAAACTAGGGACTGACAAGCCCCTTATTGGTGCCATAGATAACAGGACCACATGCAAAATATTCACAAATATTTAAAAGGGTTGGTCTGGTGTAAACCTCCTTGTGACATGATATGTTGTCAATGTTCCACATTTTAAAGAGCGATTGATTTTCCTGTATACATTTTTAGTAAGAGAATACAGTATTTTATAAATTCCTGCCTGTTTATATATGTCTCTAAATACTTACACATACACATATATATACAAGCACTTACTCACATACATATACCCATCCTCACACATACATGAATACACACACTCAAAGTGCACTTATACAGTATATACATACAAACGCAAGTGCCGACCATATACTGTGGTCTGAGATATGCCGACTCCCTATACTGCAAGTCAGAGTATTGTCCACCCAAGGCTTGCTCACCAAGAAGTAGTCCAATCTGGAGTGTGAATTGTGGGGTATTGAATAGAAAGTGTAATCTTTCTCTGTCGGATGTGTTAATCTCCATATATCCACTAATGCTTGGTCTTTCATCAGAGTATTCAAAGCTTTTTCAGCTTTATTTCTACTTTTGCTTGGAGCAGAGGGCGATTTATCAATAACTTTATCCAATACAATGTTAAAATCCCCCCCCATCACGATAGGGATATCTCCCAGCGCTGAGATGTGGTTATTAATTTCATGGAACACAGTACCATCAGAATTGGGGGGCGCATAAATATTAATAAATGCCATTTGGATGTTGTTAAGAGAACCAACAGTAATGGCATACCTCCCATAAGCGTCACTTATATTTTGTGTGATGATAAAGTTAAGTTTTTTGTGAAAAAGAGTTACCACCCCTCTACTTTTGGTATCATATGTGCTGGATGACACTTGGCCAACCCATTCCCTTCTCAGTTTCATAGCTTCTTGTTGGAGAATATGAGTTTCCTGCAGAAATAATATTTGACAATTTTTACTTTTAGCGAAGTTCAGTATTTATTTTCTTTTAATAGGCTGGTTTATCCGATCTCTGACGTTTCAAGTCATGAGATGTATTGTGCTATCTCTACTCATTACTAGATGTGACATTGTATTTATCAACTTTTGACCGCCCTTTAACAGAAAAGATACACACAAAAAAAAACATAAAATATTTACATACACATGAACATGCTCCCTCCCTCCCTCCCCTGCATCTCAACCCCATGCTTTGAGAGAAATACCCTAAGTAATTTGGTGATGGCATTAGACGCTCAACACCAAAGACTCCCGTTGGACCCCCTCTATATTCAGAGTAGTTTACTGTCAGGGAACTGAGTTTTTATTCCTAATAATAGAAAGAGGAGCCTCATTTTACAAGTAAAATACTTTATAGTAGCCACAGTAATTATTGCAACATAAGAACTCAACAACATTAGGCAACTCCTATTCGGGCCTGTAATGTATGTTAGTATAGAATCAATCTATTTAAATATTTGAAATAATGGTCTACAGGTATATCTGGCAAAGTCAAAACAAACTAAGACACACCTCCAAAAAAAAAGAAACAAACCAACAGAACAAAAAACAAAAAACAAAAAGGAAGTTACTCCTGATACTTTAGATAGCAAATATTTTACAGTCAGGAGTGGCAACCTGTAGTCATTTGTTAGAGAATGACCAAGTGCTGTCTTGAACAAATATAGAAAAAGGCCCAGTTGGCAGATTTAGGCTACTTTAGTGAAGGCTAGATGCACCTTAATATCTGCACCCAAACAGAAACAAATTTATCCCCAACTCGTTGTAAGTGTTCCGTTTTGTTAACGAGGCTCTCAGTCAGTTTGTTTAGAAAGTACTTGCTAGAACTTGAAGCAGAGCATCCGGTTTACTTCAGTTCTTACGATGCTGTCTCTGGTTCCTTGAACGTTGCGTTGCCCATTTTTCGTTGTTGGCGGTAAACACCTGCGCCGGGTGCGCCTGCAGCTGGTCTCCGTTGATGATACCCCTCTGGATGAGAGCCCGCCTTGCTTCGTTGGCAGTGGCGTAAGTTTGGATGCCATCTTCAAAAATGACCTTCAGCTTAGATGGATATATAACATGGGATTTCACCTGTTTCTCTTTGAGTTGTTTTCTGATGGGCGCATAGAGACGCCTCTCCTGCTGCAGTTTAGCGGAATAATCATGGTCCTTCACTCCCTTCTTTCACCTGGTAGATTCTTATATTCAGCTGTCGAGATTTATTTTCCAGATATTCCACTCTGTCTGCTACTTTTGTCTGTTGTTGCAGCAGGTATGTGAGGGTTTCTGTGACGGTGCCTTCTCTAAAACATGCTCTAAAACTTATTGTAGCTTAGTTGTCAGGGACATTACTGGTAGTTGTCTTTAATTATAAAGGTAAATACTCTTCCTACCCAATCAGAAATTAACTGCATTAGTATTTGGTTAAAAAAAAGGTAAAAATAATTAAAATGTATATTCATAAGTAGAGACAAAGGAGTTCATATACATACAATAATTTGTTGAATAAAACATGAACTAAACATGTTTACAGCCTGGTACAAAAACAATGATTGTCCTCAGGGACACACACTGTACGGGGGGGGGGGGTGAATGTTTTGATGACTCATCAGTTTTGATGGATAAGCGTGTAGCTGACTAAATAAAAAAACAGGTTCAACAGAAGGCTGTAAATGGAGCACTAGTTTTCCCTTATTATTGATCACAAAAATGTTAAACTTGACCAAATAGTAAAACAAATCAAAAGCAATTATAGTGTGAGGATGGCTGCCTGGTTCATAAATAAATGCAAGGCAGAAAGTGGTAAAGTTACATATTAGTTTATTGTGGTTAGCTTAGCTTATTTCATTTGGCTAGCTATGCTATTGAGAAACAGGCTTCCATTACACATTACTAGACTAAACCAAGATGAAGGAGAAACAAAAATACCATTCTGTGACAGACAGGTCTGATAGAGGAGCTGAGGCCTCCATTGTCAGGTCTTTTACATTTTTGACAGTTGAGAAGGGAACGTCTCTCCGCGAGTGGGCGTGGCTTCGGCGCATTCCATGGACACGCCCACATCATCCCAGAGGAGAGAGAACAGCTACATTTTTCATGATTTTGAAGCTTCATTTTATAAACTTATAGGTCTTTTTCATTGCTGAAATTTGGCCTGGAGGTTCATAATACATTCTTCTTCTGTATAAAACACTAAAAACTTTTTTTTTTTTTTTTTTTTTTTGGTTTACTCTCTGATCCAGGTCTACACTCCCTCCCCCCCCACTACGCTCTGCCAATGAAAGGCGTCTGATCCAACCTTCACAACAGGGTCCTAAGTCTCTGACTAGACTCTTCTCCTCTGTCGCCCCCCCGGTGGTGGAATGAACTTCCAAACTCCATGTGATCTGCAGAGTCCCTCTGCACCTTTAAGAAAAAGCTAAAGACCCAGCTCTTTATAAGTACCTACGACCTGATGATGATGGTTTAGATATTGTTGATGATGATGATGGTAATGACGATGGTGTTAAGAAGTGATTAATGTAAAATGAAGACACTGACGTCTCACTTTATGTGTATGTGGAAGGAAGAGAGAGAGACAGACCGTGTGAGTGTCAAAATCCACTTATTAGCTCATCTCAGACAACTGTGAGTGAGAATGAAAGGTTTCCATGGTGATATGAATTCAAAGGGACTGCTATAATTTAATTCTGGGGAATTTAGTTGGATTTAACCTCTGAAACTCCCGATCTGTGTCCAAAGAAAATCAGCACATCACAACATATCTAACAGTTATGTGAGAATGTAGCTTGCTTCTCATCGTTTTAAATCAACACTAACAATAAACTACAGGAACCATATTTGTGTAAGCGGACTTCAGGGTTGGAAACAGCTTCCAGCAGTCTGGGTTGTCGCTCGTTTTCTTCTTTTGATCGACGAAATTGCTCCTCATATTCTGCTATGGTTCTTTCAAACAGATCAAATATCTCTTCAGCAGCAGCAGTCAGTCTCTGGTTGATGAAAGATCTCAGTGTTTGGACTTTAGACATTTTCACACACGAGCAGAGCAGCTTTTTCTAAACACACACAGCGAAAAAAAATAGTAGCCTATCTGGCGTTAGCTTCGTCGCTTTAATCACGTTTGTGTCCCAGCTAGCATGCTAAGCTAACTCCATACGCGTCTTCTTCTTCTTCTTGTGGGTATATTACTGCCCTCCGAAGGACAAACTACCGGACACACTCACGTTTATAGACATAAGCTTCTTTGAAAGTCAGCAGGATTTCATTTAAACACTAAAACAGATGACACTGCTATGAAGAGCCCTGGATCGAGTCTTGCTCTTCTTCTATTTGTTGTTGTTTTCTGGCGGTTGGCTAACAACGTATTGGTGCATTACCGCCACCTATCTGTAGGGGGTGTAGATCGGAAACCTGAAACTCCAAGCT